TCGACGGCAACGGCGGCCACTGGTAAAAATAGACAGCGCAGCCGAAAGCCTGGCGATAGACATTTTTAAAAAGGGACAAAAAACACATGTACATGCGCGGCGTGTGTGCGTGTGTTGTGTGTGTGTGTGCGGAGGCGCCCCGAGATGAGAGCGCGTAACACTATCTCTGTGTAGTAGTATAGGCGATGGGGGATGGTGTTGAGTGTGGATGCAGGGGAGGTGGGGGTGGGGGTGGGGGTAGTGAAGCTGGGGCCGAGAGTGAGAGCAACATGGCACATGTCACGCGAGGTTAGCGCACACCATGTGCGCATGTAGTTCTTTACACATGTACAGCATTGAGTTGGTAGGTATGTGGAAGAAGGAGGGGGAAGAGGAGGAGGAGGAGGGTAGAGGAATTGTGAGACGGGGAGACGATAGCACGACGTTGACGTGTGTGGTAAAGAGAAGGTGAAAATCTAGGATGCTGAACAGTTAGAAGAGCAGACGTGTGGGGAGAAGGCGAGTGCAAAAGATGAGATGGTAGGTGTGGAGAAGAACAAAGACGAAGATGAAGGGTGGGGGAAGAGGGTGACACCGTGACGGAGAATATGGAGATTCCAAACAAATGGGCGCGCGTTATTTAATTGCCGAACAAAAAACATTAGTTGCTAGTTGCACTCGCAAGCTGTTCTATTGAGACCGTGCGCCTGCATTAATGCTGCATTAACGTATATCGTATTTCGAATGCGTTCACATTCGTAATATTTGCGTATCCATTGTAATGCACTCGCTGTTTCATCATACTTTGAAGCGATTTGCTGGGACTTTTTTATCAGCGCTCGCTTCCCCGCTGTTTATTTATTAGCACGGGCGTTCATGACAAAGCAAAGCACTTCATAGTGAGAATGGCGAGTATAACATCAGAACACGTAGCGGTAACATATTATATTAAGCCCTGGTGTAGCGCGCACGTGATGAAATGCTGTAGTTTCCGGTTGCGAGCCATCTATACTACTTACTACAAACACGAACTCTGTCGGTCTGTTTGCTATGCATTTTGCTGTTTATTGGTTTAGGCCCCCAAAACGTCCACACTGTTAGTTGATCACCCTTATGGTGGCCTAAGCACGCTAGAAATTAAGAAACGCTATTTAAAAGAATACACTAAAAACTACTATTTAAAAGCAAGTAAAATATCAAAAGTACGAACGCATCGAAATAGCTGTTGATGTCGTAGCACGCAATCCATGTTGGGGTGGCTCGCAGCGCAGACTAGGCAGTGCGTTAGCAGCACGCTAGAAATGTAGGCAGGTTTCGGTTTCGGTTTCGGTTTTGATGTCAGACGTAAGCTGCCGATTATTGACTATAAACTAGTAAGCTGGCTATTATTTTGATGTATTGTGAATCCCAATGATAAGAGAGACGCGTGAAAGACGTTACCAGTTGTGTATTTAAAAGGCGAGTCGAGGCTTGCACAGCCAGAGAGGCATATATTCATAATAACTTGCCGCAATTTTATAACAATGTTGTAGATCCAGATCCTTGGACTATAGAATCCTTGAATCGTTCGAACTGCTTTTGCTAGAATATTGTTTAACCTTTCATATTATGTTCTATGTTACGACTATAGTATATAATATATCCTTAGAATTAGCTAAATATATGTGTCTATATGTGTATATGAATGCTCTACAAGTTGTTCCCCGCGCAACGCTAGGTACATATTATCCGGAGTCTATCAATAGATAATTTATAATCTATAGAATAATCGATTATTTACTCCTGATATTATCCTTAGCTGCATGATCTGTTTTATCTGGGAGCCTCGGTGAGATTAACACATTACTCAACGTGGGGTTATGGTTAAGGCTATGGTTCTACTCTTGGGCCTGACCCGGCATATAGTGAGGCTGAAGGGGTCGTTGTCTTATTAGGTACTACAGATATGTACCCGAGGTACGTATATGTAAACACAAGTGTACCAGACCTGTATCTTCTCAGCATATATGTACCCTGTGTTTACATAAACGTACCTGCCCCGCGGGCAGCATATGAAACCACGCGATAAAGTACGAGAATGTCGTAAACCTTCAAAACAAGAGAACAAACGCCATTTGTAAATGTTTGTTTTGGTTTGTAACCGTTAGATAAGTAAGTTTTCTGATGTATTTTCCATGAAAAACACATATTTTACTCATTAATATAACATATAATATCACTATAATTGCAATTCTTTGTGCAAATGTGTTATTTTCATCTTAATCTTAAGTTATGACTTTGAGAGGGTCTGGGTTTATAGCTGCCGAGATTGGTTTAGTTAGGAAATGATAATACGATTTGCGTATCTGTATCGTTTCGTGTATAGGGCAGTATTAACAGGTATCAGGATATGCATTGTAGGGGCCTATACGCAATACGTTTTTGTTCTACTTTCTGTTTATGTTCGTGGACCGATTAGTTTACAGCTGACCTCAGGGTTTTTGGTAGATAATTCGGGATTTTGGCTACAAGTCATGGAGGCTGACATCTTGCCAAATTCCAGCCAATCAGAAGGCGCTAAATTCTTCCTATGTTATACCGTTTTCCGGCTTTTACGACAATACCATGTGACTGAACGAGACTTCCCGCCTGGGTACATTTATGGAGCGCAGCAGTACGGTTATGTAGAAACAAGGATACACTTGTGTATACATATATGTACCTCGGGTACATATCTGTAGTACATGATACGACAACGACCCCATCTGCGTAACCAGTGTCTTGGCCCTCCTAGGTGACTGTTATCTTAATCAAAATGGTCATCTGTTCTCTGTAACGCCGGGAGAAGCAGAGCATATTAAACATTGCAAGCTTCACCGAATTTGCAATTTGCACGTAATTAACCAGCGAGGGAAGCAATCGGGTTCGCGTATACTCAGTACTGTAGCACACTATTTACGGGAGCTACGCGCATTCACAGCCACCTGCCCCTTATTGTCATGCGAGCTGCCTCTGACACCAATTATGAATACACTCGGATCGTCTGTAAGCTTCACACAGCCGCCCTACGTGAATGCAGCCAGCTCGCTATCGCACTAGCCTGCAGAAGCTGCTAAGAAGAAGAAGCACGCACGCCAACCTAGATTCACTGATAGAGCAGTAAAACTACGATAACCTCGCGGTTGGTTACACGAGGAAATTGTCCAAGGCTAAACGGCTCTCTCTTACTCTCTCTCTTACTCTCGCTCTTTCTCTCTCTCTCTCTCTCTCTCTCTCTCTCTCTCTCTCGTCTTCTCTCTCGCCCTCTTTCGTCTCTCTCTCTCTCTCTCTCTTCTCTCTCTCTCTCTCTCTCTCTCTCTCTCGCTCTCTCTCTCTCTCTCTCTCTCTCTCTCTCTCTCTCTCTTCTCTCTCTCTCCTCTCTTTCTCTCTCTCTTCTCTCTCGTCTCTCTCTTCTCTCTCTCTCTCTCTCTCTCTCTCTCTCTCTCTCTCTCTCTCGTCTCTACCCTTCTCGTTCTTCACGTATGTCGGAACCGGTGACACTCTACCTTCCCTGCCATCTAATACTTCTTAATAACCAGATTGATCAAAATCAGATGAGTAGAAATTTGATTCTTAGTTGGGCACCAAGTTATTTGCATAGTCCTGGTGAAAGTTCCTTAGCTGCTGGCATGTTCGTTGTGATACAAAGGATATACGGCAGATTCGGTGTTGCAACAGTGTACGTATGTGCGTGCGTGTCAAATTATGTTAATCAAACTGATAATTTCAGTGTTGCAACTTGCTTGAATTCCGTGTTTCAGCGTGAATGTCATTAGTTGAGCTACAAACAAGGCATATTTAAAAAAGACTTGTTTTAGCATGTAAAATATATAGACTTGGATTAGGATCAAATATATTTAGTGATACTTCTGGCAGTAAGTGTGCGAAGTGATCAAGTATAAATTTATATGATTTTTGATAGGCAGGATACGCACTTTATGTAAATGCTTTCCTATACGTTCAGATTGTTAATGTAAATTTTAATAATCTTGCATGCTCTTCATTGACTACAACAACACCTTCATTTATGACAAATATGATTCAACATTGCATTCCCTTTCATAATTTAGTTGTTTTAAACACGGGACATACTTTCTGCGATAGCAGTTAACTCCTGTCATTCCTTTGAAACTCCCACGGGAATTGATTGCATCAGAAGTTAAAGAATCCAATCAACTAACTAACTACTTCATAGGATCGAGGCATTGCATGTCTGACTCCGACCAGAGCCGCTGTGTTACGATCCATTATCCTCTTGCAGGCGTTGATGGCAACAGCTCTCAGCGACGTATTCTGTCATAAACTCCCGAAGTTGGACCTACCAGCCGATGTCCCTGACATCAGTGTCCCCCAGCAGTGTCACCCCTCTCCTTACTCATCAGATGTCTTCCTTCTGCTTGTAGGAAATGTCTCTGATAGCAGTGTCCCCCAGCAGTGTCACCCCACCTAACGTCCTTCATCATCAAATGTCTTCCTTCTGCTTGTAGGCGATGTCTCGGACATCAGTGTCCACCAGCAGTGTCACCCCACCTTACTCATCAAATATCTTCCTTCTGCTTGTAGGTGATGTCTCTGACAGAAGTGTCCCCCAGCAGTGTCACCCACCCTTACTCATCAAATGTCTTCCTTCTGCTTGTAAGTTGTAGGCGATGTCTCGGACATCGGTGTCCACCAGCAGTGTCACCCCACCTTACTCATCAAATGTCTTGGACATCAGTGTCTCCCAGCAGTGTCACACCATCTCACTCATCAGATGTCTTCCTTCTGCTTGTAGGGGATGTCTCTGACAGAAGTGTCTCCCAGGAGTGTCACCCACCCTTACTCATCAAATGTCTTCCTTCTGCTTGTAGGCGATGTCTAGGACATCAGTGTCCCCCAGCAGTGTCACCCCACCTCACTCATCAGATGTCTTCCTTCTGCTTGTAGGTGATGTCTCTGACAGAAGTGTCTCCCAGGAGTGTCACCCCACCCTTACTCATCAAATGGCTTCCTTCTGATTGTAGGCGATGCTAGCAAGAGCTCTCTACGACAACATCGCGGAGAGCCCTGATGAGCTGGCCTTCCGCAAGGGTGACATCGTCAGCATTATCGAGGAGAGCCCAGGCGGGCTCGTCGGATGGTGGCTTTGCTCGCTGCGCGGCCGCAATGGCATCGCGCCGGCCAACCGGCTGCGGGCGATGGCCAGCGGTCAGCCAATGCCGGTGGAACAGAAGCAGGCGCAGTTCCGCAGACGCAGCTGGAACTCGGCTCCCAACAAGGTACAGTATACGTGTGATGCTGGTCAAGAAAGTGGTGAGCGCTTGACTGTATGTGTGTGTCGCGATCGCACTCACCACACCTCAGCCAAATTCGTACCTCTATCTAAGAAATAATGATGAAGAAGAGTAAGGGATTCGTCCGAGGTTTGTCACATAATAGCGATCGCTCGGTATCAATAGACCAGTAGCAGTGTTGTGGGGTCACGGTATGCAGAGCATTGGTGGGTAACAATGCTGAGAGGGTCTATGTCCCCCGGGGTACTGCCGGAACGTACCCTGGGTGCGGTCTGGTATACCGGAACGTACCCTGGTAGGCTGGTACTATCTAATATGCCGGACCGTACCTTGCATACTCCACTAACGAGTCTAGGGAGTCGCCTACACCTACTCCTTAACCCTAACCCTAACCCTAACCATATCAAATAGTGACCAGGTTACGTTCCGGCAGTACCCTGGGGGACATAGACCCTATGAGCGGTAGCAATAGTAGCACTGTAATAGATGTCTAAGAATTCTGGGTAGTAGTAAGTAATGGGTTGTTATGGCTGTGTAGCAATGTATGTGTAGCCATTCATGATCATGCGCATGGTCCGCAGGGATAAAGAAATTGCATATGATCAGGACTCCTGGTATTATGAAAAGAGATGAATAGAACGTTAATCCTAGTTCCCATAGCAATACAATCACTACGAAGAGTGAAGCAACCTGCAGGTAGTTACATTGCCATGTAGTAGCACCGGCTACCTTCTAGGCCTTCTAGGCCTCCTAGGCTCCAATATATAAGCTATGGCCATCCCAACAAGGTAGCCTTCTGAAACTTTTTGCGTAAAACTGTAAATTCATTCTCGCAAGTCCCTGCTACAGATCTCAAAAACGCAAGCCTATTACCAAAGCATCATATATTAAACAAAACAAATTGATTATGGCTCTGCCGCTTCTTGTTTTGTGAAGAAATAAACGTGTATGTTAGGGTTACGTCCAGATCGGAGTTAAATGTTCATCTCATGTCTAAGGGGTGAATACACTATGCCGCTGCAGATCGGCGGCCGAATTCCAAGTTGCTATCTTTAAGTTTTTCTTGGGCTGTAATCAGATACTGCTTTTCTTAACGGCTGTGCCGCCTCATAGTCTCAATGGCAGAGTTGGGGATTACGTTTGTTTAGACAATTACAGCTAGTACTGTGAAGAGATTTTTCATGTGCGGAGAAAAACGTTCTCCACCTAGTAGCCGCAGCTGGAGTGTGTGAGCACTTTGTATTGATAGCTGTTTTTTTGTGTGTGTGGCTATTTGCGTTTGTGTGCGTCAGTGTGTGTGCGGGCATGCACAAGCGAGCGTGTGGGAACGTACGTGTGTGTTCTTTCCGTTTTAAAAGCTGTTGTATAATAGAAATTATGAAAGAAATTGTTCTGGCAATCACCTGTTCAAGCAGTATTGCCTGTTGAATGCGACAAAAGACTATCTTGGAAATAAATCTGAAACTCCAGCCAGTCTTGATTTCGATTATATAACATACAGTAAAACCCATAAAAATGAACTAGTCCTGCTCAGGGGGGTATTCTAACACTGTAAGAGATTATTCATTTCGTAACTGTTTGGTATCACAGTAGATTTCATTTGATACCCCCCCCCCCAAACAACCTCGCTACAACTTCACACATTGTGTTTTCTCTCGCTAGGTGGTGACACCGCAGCGCGTCGGCGACGTCTACTTGTATGACGTACCGCCGCTGCGTGGCCAGGCTGACTACGACGTGCCCCACCCGCAGAACATCCCCGTGCCGGGCCTCGCCCTCGACACGTACGACGTGCCGCCCTCCGCCGCCGCCGTCGCCGCCTTCGCCTCGCCGCAGTTCTCGTCGCCCGGCCGCGCCGTCCACGTCGACATGGCCGACACGTACAGCGTGCCGCCGCACCCGGTCGCCGTCGCCGACGACTACGACCGGCCGCAATCGGATCGCTCGAGCGCGGCGTCGTCGTCGCTGCTCGGCGGTGTTGCCGCGGACGACGCCACGACAGTGTCGTCGGGGAGCCTGTCGAGTCTGACGGACGCCGCGCTGTCGCTGTCGAATCCGCCGAGCACGTGCGGCTCGAATCGCTCGAGCGGCGAGCTGCTCGACGTCTACGACTGCCCACCGCCGAACCCGCGGCGTGTCGTCGCCACGGCGATGAGCGGCGACTCGGAGGACGTGCTCGAGAAGTTTGCGGACATCAGCGCCGAGCTGAGCCGCGTGTGCATGACGGTGAACGCGACATACGACGTGCCGCCGGGTGGTGGGCCAGGCCAGCAGCAGCAGAAGCAGGTGCTCGTCGCAGACCTGTACGACGTGCCGCCGTGCAATCGGCCCGTGCTCGCCGCGAAGGGCGAGGCCGCAAAGACGAAGAAGTGCGCAACGCCCGACTACGTGCACAGCGGCGACTTCGTCTACGACGTGCCGCCGCAGGTCACCAAGGATCAGCCGCTCGAGGTCGCCAACTTTAGCGGCGACGGCAAGGCGTCGTCGTCGTCCGCGTCATCGTCGTCGGGCGGCGGCGCGTTCTCCGGCGACGGCGGCGTCGTTGCCGCGGCTACCGACGGCAAGGAGCTGCCGCTCGACCTCGACGCAGCGATGGACATGCTCGTGAAGCTGCAGCAGGAGCTGCAGGGCGCCGCCGCGAAGCTGTTTGGCTTCGTGCACTCATCGTGGCGCGCGAAGGACGCGCTCGAGGTGAACATCTTCAACATCAAGCTGTCGTGCACACGCGTGCAGTCGTCGCTGCGCGAGTTCCTCGACTTTGCGCGCGGCGCCGTCGCCAACGCGGCGCGCTGCTCAGACAAGGGCCTTGCGGCGAAGCTGGCGCGGCTCTGCAAGCCCGTCGATGAGCAGCACGCGGCCGTGCAGCGCGCGATGGCCGCCATCGACCGGATTGAGTGGCAGCCGGCGCTGCTCGCCGCGCGGCAGCCCGGCGGCGCCAGCCTCGACGAGATTGTCGCGAGCGCGCGCACGCTGCTCGAGGACGCACGCGCACTCGCCTCCGTCATCCACGCAAACTCGAAGCTGCTCTTCAAGCGCGCGGCGACCGTCTCGAAGGAGGGCTCGCCGGCGAAGACCTCCTCCTCCGGGAAGCCTGCCGTCCTGCCGAAGCCTGGCAGGAAAGCGGTACGCGATGCCGGGGGAGGCATCCAAGAGCGGCCGCTGCCGTCGGTTCCCGCGCAGCGCACCGCCAAGCCGAAGCAGGGCGGCGGCGACGACGGCGACCAGGACTACGAGAACGACGGCGATGACTGGTTTCACGACTACGAGTACGTGCAGATCGACGACGCGAACAACGGCAACGCGACGCTCAAGGCGAAGCCGAAGGGCGGCAGCCCGAAGAAGGTGCCGGCGTCAGCGACGTCTGTGGGCGGCGGCGGCGGCGACCGGCAGGTGCTCGAGTTCTACGCGTCGCAGATCGCCTCGCACGTCGCGAAGCTGATGAACGGCATCGACGCATTCCTGCTCGCCGTCGAGAACACCGAGCCGCCAAAGTCGTTCATCGCGCACAGCAAGTTCGTCGTGCTCTCGACGCACCGGCTCGTCAACATCGGCGACACGCTGTACCGCAACGTCGCGTCGGCCGACGTGAAGACGGGCATCATCCGCGCGACGAACGCGCTCTGCGACTGCCTCAAGGTGACGGTGATGACGACGAAGGTCGCCGCGCAGAACTACCCGCAGGTGAAGTCCATGCAGGACATGGTGGACAGCATCGTGGACATCTCGCACGCTGCGAGCGAGCTGCGCATGGTCGTCACGCAGGCCGCGAGCTGGTAGCAACGGAACCGCGGACGCTGTGTACGTGGCGAGTGAACTTCCCAGTAAACACGCACGGTGCGAGCTGGTAGTGCCACGCGCGCGGCGAGTGAACGTGGTGGACTGTGCCCGGTCAGCATGCAGGCCGCGAGCTGGTAGCATCGTGCGCTCGGCGAGTGAACGGAACCGCGGACGCTGTGTACGTGGCGAGTGAACTTCCCAGTAAACACGCACGGTGCGAGCTGGTAGTGCCACGCGCGCGGCGAGTGAACGTGGTGGACTGTGCCCGGTCAGCATGCAGGCCGCGAGCTGGTAGCATCGTGCGCTCGGCGAGTGAACGGAACCGCGAACGCTGTGCACGTGGCTAGTGAACTGCCCAGTCAGCACGCATGATGCTGAACTGTGCCCAGTCAGCACGCAGGCGTTGAGCTAACGCTCGTAGAGATGGCAGGCAGCGTCGGGGGATGGCTCGCACAGCAGCTTGACAGGTTCTCGAGTCGAGCAGTGGCGGTGTGTGCAAGCGTCTGGTGATCAGGTGATCGGCCAAAATTTCCAGTGTTTGTTCTTTTGTCGATGGCAATTAGTACGTCGTTGTTTTCTCTCCGTATGTTGGTTGCAGCTCTCGTAGAATTTCAATCGAGCATGGTCGAACTGCAGCATGGAATGTTTCAGGGCACACTCCTTTTATCTCATGACACAGTTTCACTGTTTGGGCTGTTCGCAAGACATCGAACATAAAGTTAATACCCGTGGATACATGTATATATATATATATATATATACTGGAAGAAACCACTGGCAGATTCTGGCATTCTAAAATGAACACAATCTCAAATAATACTCCCGTGCCAAAATTCCACATACTGGTAACGGCAATCGATATGCGTATGTATAAATCTCTATCCTGATTACGTTATGTCTTAACAACAAGCAGCCGTTTTGCCACGCTCGTATGTCGGTGTGTGTACAATTTAAAAATGGCATGTGTCTATTCGACTGTACGTATGTCATAGGCGTTTGATGATTCTGCAGACGTTTCTATAGAAGAGATCATATTTCAATTTGCTGATCAGTCAGTCAGATGTCTCTCGTCAAGCAACGCGTGTGCATTTACTTGGATGATACATATTTTATGCGAGCAGTTTCAGTAATGTTGGTTTTTACTCGTAACTGAAGAGTTCAAGTACCTGTTAAAAGTCAAATATGTAACTGTCTGTACATTTTTCAGCATGTTCTGTTTGGTGTGTACATATGGAAAACGATCAATCGTTTTGTGTGTAGTAATTTAACAAAGTGTAACTTTGTTGACTTAATAGTGACTCGTTTCTATGATTTGTATCTGGCTCACTGATATTTTACTGTCGTCGACCTACAGCCCCCACAGAGTCGTAGCTGGTTAAATGTGTTTTATTACCGAGTGCAACAGGGGCTATGCCTACATCGCATCTAGCCCCTGCTTCTTACCAGGTCACAGAATAGAAAACTATTAATTAGGATTGCGATAAAAACAAAAATGATATAACAGACCGTAGTTATACCAACGCGCAGTAACAAGCATCTTCGCGTGCGGCAGTAGAACGTAATTAGCGCACGTAGCTTGGTTAAGTTTGCCAATTTACAGCACTCCATGTAAACTTTCTCAATGTTTTTGTGCGTTTGGTGTTTTTTAAAGTGTACGCATTTGAAATGTGTAATTTTTGCAGCTGTTAAAACCGGATCTTTAGGTGAAGCCGTAGTAGAATCATCCAGGCGCGGTATAGTTAATGCAACTACATGTACCTCCATGTCATCTGCATTCCAACAGCCTGTGCCAGCCACAGGCACTTGGGCTGAAGGGGTCGTTGTCGTATCAGGTACTACAGATATGTATCCGAGGTACATGTATACACAAAGTGTACTAGACTTGTACTACAGAAGTGTACCTTAACCCTAACCCTAGCCCTAACCCTAACCCTAACCATAACCCTAAACATACCTCATATAAAAATATAAACATAATACTAAACAACCTAAAACTACCTCGGGTACATATCTGTAGTACCTGATACGATAACGACCCCATCTGCGGCACTTGGAGCGTTTCAATAAAATATAATGCAAAATAAATACGAAATCTATTTACTACCCCAAAGTCTTAATGTTTCTCTACTCTCTTTCACCTATTATTGCCGCCAATTTCCTGTACATGCCGTCCAAATGCTCATGTGCAATACACGTTGGCCGCGGCACGCTAGCTGCTGCACACTGACACATAAATATATAGTTTATGTTTATATATCATATATCTATATATTATATATTATATATAGTTTATTTTATATATCACTATATATTTATGTGTCAGTGTGTATTGCAGATGAGCATTTAGACCGCATTTACAGGAAATTGTCGGCAATAATAGGTGAAAGAGAGTAGAGAAACATTAAGACTTTGGTTGTAAATAGATTTCGTATTTGTTTAGCATTATATTTTATTGAAACGCTCCAAGTGCCTGTGGTGCCAGCCAACTGCTTCTAGTTTTCTGTTGGCTCCTAGTATCCTGTTTGCGTGTCTGTGTACGTCTGTGCACATACTTGTGCGGGCATGTAGTTACCCAAAGTATATAACTGAAATTATATACTGCTGTGTGTAGCGAGCTATCATGTTGGTCTGAGTTGTCGCTTGCGTGCAAGCACGTCGCTGTAACAAGGTGTGCAGATGGGGCGGGAGGGAGTACGATGCTGTGGGTAGGCATTGTCACGATGTCATAATATGTTTCGTAATTTTAACGCATGTTTTCACAGACCGTTGAGAAATACATGTACACGTGTGTATTCATTCATCCACATAGTATATTGTTTTATTTGGCGATTAAGTGTTATGCAGAAATGCGTTTCAAGATGTTAAAATGTTGATGTAAATTAGAGCTTTTAGTGTACATACAATTTTAATGCTGTGGTGATTTCTTGTGTTGCGCTCCATCTTTATTTTGCTTTTTATGTTAACACGGTCATTCGTCGTCCCTTAGACGCAATTCATTGTTATATATTAATAGAATTCAACGTGGATCAGTCGAAAATGTTAATTTTTGTAAATTTTGTACATTCTTAATTGACATAGCTAAATCTATTTTGGATTTGCAATGCTAAAATACAGGCAGTTTAGCATACTTTTAAATGTATGATAATAAGCATATTACATGTATATATATAGAGATAGCATCTTAACAACCCTGCTGTTATTGTATTTGGTTTTGTGAGTGATTTTACCAGGAGTGAATAATAGAATATCTCTATTATTCACTCCTGATTTTTCCAAGCTTTTGTTTGCAAAATTTTCAGTGGGACCAACTAAATTTAATTACTACACCTTTCCTGAAAAAAGAACGTGTTTATCATCCTTCTTGACCTAATATTTTGACACTTATTTTGTACTTGGTTTACAATAATTACATGCGTCATAATGCAGACACGATACAGACTTGTAAATTTGCCTAACATCTTTGGAAGCTTTGTAGATGGACACTGAACAAATTTTTGTACACATGCTTTTGCCGTGTCATAAAAATAGTCGACTATAATCAACATGAGAAAAAAGAATCATTTTCACCTGAATCAGTCCAAAAGTGTATTAGTTACTGAAAGTAGCAAATTTTAAATAAATTTTGCTGTCACAGTTTCTGCTGTTTTGCCTATAAATTTTTACTAATAAATGTAATCGAAGCTCATGCTTTGAGCTGGTGTCTGTTCACTAGACCAGAAAATTTGCAAATGTGGCTCCAATACACTTGTATGTGTGCGCATAGTGGTTCACCAACAACAACGCCAACCGTATACCTTATTATAGGCATGCGTCTGTCTGTAAATGGTATAATATTTGGTTACCTATCAATTTATTTAATTGTTGAGTAACTCGTGTCACTAAAGACGAAACGTTTGGTTAGTGAAGTGATGAGAATAAAACGTGAAAGGCAACAGGACAAGTATGAATGCAATATGATAGAGGGAAGCCTAATAAAAATAAATGAGCAAATAACTTGTTTCCTACTATCATTTGAAACTTCAGGTCGGGGTGACTGTGGCCACCGTGCCGCGTTGAATTTATGCAAAAGCTAACCGAAAAAAACCTGCACATTTATAAAGGGTTTACCCACAGGTGGGTGTCCATTGTGTATGGGGGTGGGAGATTCCAGGGGGATATGGCTAGTTAACGCGTTGACCAAGATTTCTTAGTGAGAGCGCGTCGCCTTGAGTAGCCGAGCGACGAGTGTGTTCCGCGAATTTCATAATTATATCGCCGGGATCTCTCTGTGGCAGCATATATATATGTACAAACAAATGTGTTTGTATATAGCTATGGTGGCAGCAAGCCGAACTCGAAGGCTGTACGGTACCCGTGCGCTACAATCTACAAGGTGTAAGCTTCAGGAACATGTCACAACCCACACAGATGCACGTTAGCAGTGAGGCATCGCGTGTAAGAAAGCTATGAATTATATCGGGAACATCACTGTACACCAGTTCAAAACTTGCTACGCCAATCATTGCTATCATTGACTAAATAGTAGATATTTCGATCATAGATTTCTTCTGGAAGCTTTTTCTACTGCGAACCGGCCCGGGGTCAGCCCTATAGACCGAAGGTCCGATAGACCGAATATTGAAAAGGGACCTATAGACCGAAGGTCCGATAGACCGAATATTGAAAAGGGACCTATAGACCGAAGGTCCGATAGACCGAATATTGAAAAGGGACCTATAGACCGAAGGTCCGATAGACCAAAGATTTCATAAATCATAGTAAAATACTTTACTTAATCTGTGACAAACACGCACACGCACACGCACACGAACACGCACGCACGCACACACACACACACACACACACACACACACACACACACACGACACACGACACACGCACACGCACACAACCACGAAAGAACCACACACAAGAAGAACACACACCAACACGTGTGTGTGACTGCGCCTAACCGATGAAGCAACTTAGATTTAATGACATGCTGAATGAGAGCGTTAGAATATTCTAACCGGTATAAGTGGGAACCATATATCCAGAGTATCAGAAGCGGCACTCACAATATGTGAGTGTAGTAACTATACATCAAAAGAATCGGGCACGGTGCATATAGTCATATTTTTGTCTTCACGGTTACAAACCCAACATAAATACGGCGTCACAGAGAACACACACACGACCAGCACACAGCATCACACACAGTCACACACACACACACTACACACACCAAAGCACACACATATATAAAATCATGGCACTCACACACACCACACACACAGCACCACACTAACACACAAGCACACACAGGAAACACACACTCACCAACAACCACACACACAACACACAGCAGCGCGCACGCACGCACGGCACGCACGCAACTGCGCGAGCGAGCGCGCACGCAACGCAGAACAGGCACACACACACAGCCACCACGCACGCACGCAACGCTGCACACAACATATATATGGATGGGATTTCTAGTAAAGTGTTTTCGCTAAAAATCAAATTGTTAAGGCGGGCTATTCCGCGGCATGTTGTACATGCATTAAATAGATAGGCTTTGTGTGTATGGAACATTTCGGGGCCGTCACACGAAAGCGCACGAAAGGCCACAGGGGCCACCTGCCGAATAAAGCGAAAATGTTAGTAATTTTTAATAAGAATTTAAATATTGGGTTCGTCGTATTATCGTTTTCAGGATAAAATTTAAGTTCGAACAACCGCATGCGGCGTAGAATTGTTATTTCAACTTTATTCCAGAGCAACGTATTGGCTGATATGAAAGAGTATACACTAGAGTGATGGAGATCATGACTGGAGGAGTATGTGAGGAAAACTGCAGGTTTCTGGTCGATCGAATAAACACGACGGTTACTCAACTGCTACGCATTCCCATACGAAAGTGATATACATCACGGAGTAGATAATAGAGAACCCTATTATATAGGAACGGTATAAGAAGGTGTCGTATATATCTACTCTGATATACATTGCGCAGGGATGCGCATGTAGCAGAAGGAGCGGCAGCACATAATACTACAGCAGAACGGCGCGCAGGTAAATTACACAACGCACACAAGCCCGTACAGCGCGCATGAGCACAGATAGAACACACACATGTAGTGACAGCGCATATTTTTTAAATAAACTTTACAATCAGCGATCCGTTGTCCAAAAAACATTTAACAATGAATTAATATATAAGTTAACGCCCACTCACAGCACGCACACAACCCCCCCCCCACACACACACACACGTGTGAGCGCGCCTAAACACGATAGAGAATCTTAGTTTATGAGATGGCTGAATGAACGACGTTAGATATCTACTAACCGCGGTATAGATGGACAAACTCCTAGGTTATCGAGGAATGCGGACTCACAATCGGATGTGTAGATGTAAGTACTGGGTCAGGTCAAAGAATGGGGCACGTTCATTATATAGTTAATAGTATAGATGTGCTGTCAAGCTTGCACAAGCCGACATAAAATACGCACTCACAAAACACACAACACAAGCAGCAGCGCGCGAGCGCGAGCGCACACAGCACAAACACACAACACACACAGCACACACACACAGCACACAACGTACCAAAACACAAACAACACAGGGCACACACACACAGGGAAGAATTCACACATTGGGCAGAACCACAGGACACACACACATATAACACATAAGGCACACACGGAGACACACACAACACAACACAACAGCAAACAACAGAGGAGATAATTGTGTCTGTCTGTGTGTTGATGTATATGTTTGTTCAGTTCTGTTGGCCAAACATGACTTACGATAAGCACTCTAGCGATTTATTGTGGAAGGTGACGGGTAGATTTCTTTTTATTTCATTTGTATTCTAAGGCCCTTTTATCATGAAAAAAACTAACTCTATAATGATAATAAAGATAATCAAGATGTGTGTGTGCTGTGGGGGCTGTGTGTGTGTGTGTGTGATGTGTGTGTGTGTGTGTGATGTGTGTGTGTGTGTGTGTGATGTGATGTGTGTGTGATGTGTGTGTCGTGTGTGTGTGTGAGAGAGAGAAAAGAGAGAGAAGAGAGAGAGAGAGACGAGAGAGAGAGAAGAGAGAGAGAGAGAGAGAGGAGAGAGAGAGAGAGAGAGAAGAGAGAGAGAAAGATGAAGAGAGAAGAGAGAGAGAGAGAGAGAGAGATGTCGCGTTGCGCAATCAAAAGGGGGGGGGGGGGTGGGGAATTGCGTGTACGCGAGTCGCGAGATCAGCTGTAGTGAGTGGATGTCCGGAATGCGTAAGCTCTGGAGGCTAGGCAGGACTGGTTCGGACGCGTAGCCAACTGCTGATTATCGAAAAATGCATGCTTTTACACTTTGAACACATAACGTTTGGATCATATCGATCTTCGTCTGTTGCGGACTTAAGTCTATCGACGTATCGTCATATTAGGCTGATAGGACCGCATAAGGAAGGTCATAAGACAGTGGGGGAATGGTTGATGGGGTGCGTTTGATCGTAATCAGGTACTACAGATACTCATTGTACCACACGAGTAGTTTTTAAGGTTGTTTAGTATTAATGGTTTATAGTTTTATATGAGGCAGGGGCGATTACAGGGCTGAAGCTACATGTATTTTTCCAGATTTATAGGGCACAATCCCGAAAAAGGGCACCCCACGCCCCACAGTGGGGCCGTGAGGCGAGCGAGAGCACATTGGCGGAGGGGATCTGGCGGGGAACTCCCCCAGGAATTTCAAAGGTGATCACCATTTAGCGACACATTTGTCAAAGCAGCAATAGCGCTAAAAACCATATGGAATTCTTTACTTTGCTGGCTTCATTTTGGGCCTGCGCTTTGCATACGCAGCAGATTGGCAGAATGATTCAAGCGCACTTCGCTTCTTTTTTCGGGATAATCAAAGGCTAGTATTGTTACATGTAAAATTTGATTTCCTTAAGTACTGTCAATTCTCAGAAGGAAAAGAAAACAAATAAAGAATATAGAAAATTATCATTCAAAATTGTTTTCTGTATTTTTAGCGCAAAATTTCGAAGGGCACCTTTGAAATCTAGAGCGTATTTCCCAACGCAAAAAAAACGGTGCTGAAGCGCAGCCCCTGTGAGTAATGTTAAGTGTTAGGAGTTAGGGTTAGGGTAGTGTTTAGGGGTAAGGGTTAACACTTCTGTAGTAGAGTCTAGGCGGTGGCGAGCAGCATACAGAAGGCTCACCACAAATGCAATCCCACACACAAATACAATTCCGCAAACACCAAATGTAAATACCCGCACACAAATGCAAACGTCACAAACAAAATGCCATAAGCCAAAACCCAGATGCGATGCAAACAATCCCGCACCAAATGCAACGAACGCCACTAACACAAATGCCAAAAATCCCCTGCCAGCGCCCGCCTGTACTGATCTGTACTGAGGCGCTATGTTAAACCCACACCCCCCACCGACTTTGGAACAAAGGAGCAGCCACCTTCCGACCACAACGGCTATCACGCTATATGGCCGGTAGGAAGTGTAATCTTACCTATCAATAGTCGCGAAACGTGTATGAGTTACAGATTTCTGAATTCTAAGCATGCATAGAATGATACATGATCTTAGGCAATAATCCCTGTTAGTGTCAAGTTTATTAACGCACAAGATAGCTCTAATTAATTACTGTACATTCAACGAGCGCGAGTAATGCCATAAGGCTAATACAGGCATAGATAAGGCGTGATGGCCGGTAGGAAGTGTAACTTACCATATCAATAATGTCGCGAACTATAATGAGTTAACGTTTCTAAAAGAATTCTACATGCATGAGCCATACTGTCTTAGCAAATAATTCGGTGAGTGTCGCAGTTTAGTTGCGCACGAAATTAGCCTAATTAATTAGCAAATATGACAAACGCGGAGCCGCGTTGGCGTCTTTCTAGCACCGCCGCTTCATAAAACTCAATCTTCAACCAGAGATGCATAGCTATTAGCGTTAACGCGGCGTATCGTTGAAAGTGAGTGTAAGGGAGGAGGTGCGCGGAGGAGGGGAGACAGTGGGGAGGAGGTGGTGGAGGGAGGAGGGAGGAGGAGAGGAGGAGAGAGGAAGAGGAGGAGGAGAGGAGAGAAGGAGGAGAAAGAGGAAAGGAGGAGGAGGAGGAGGAGGAGGAGGAGGAGGAAAGAGAGGAGGAGGAGGAAAGAGAGGAGGAGGAGGAAAGAGAGGAGGAGGAGGAAAGAGAGGAGGAGGAGGAAAGAGAGGAGGAGGAGGAGGTAGAGGGAGAAGGAGGTGAGGAGAGGAGGTGGAGGAAGGAGGAGAGGAGAGGAGGAGAGGAGATGAGGAGGAAAAGGAGGAAGGGACGAGAAGGAGAGGAGAAGAAAAATAAGAGAGAGGGAGGAGTAGGAGGTGGAGGAGGAGAAGAAGAGAGAGGAAGAGGATAGGCAACAGAGGAGGAGCAGAGAAGGAGAGGAGGGAGGGAGGTAAAGAGGAGGAGAGGAGGAGGAAGAGGAGGAGGAGAAGGAAGAAGGAGGAGGAGGAGGAGGAGTAAGGAGGAGCGGGAGACGGGGTGGATGAAAAGAAAGGATAAAAAAGAGGAGGGAGGAGGAAGAGGAGGGAGAGAGTAGGGGAGAGGAGGAAAGGAGGCGGAGGAGAGAGAGAGATGGGAGGAAGGAGAGGCTGGCGAGGGAGAGAGTAAGAGGAGGAGGAAAGAAGAGGAGGGAGAGGAGGAAGCGGAGGTGGAGGAGGAAGAAGGAGAGGAGCGGAGGAGAAGAAAGAGAGAGGAGAGAGGAGAGAAGGAAGGGGGGGTGCGAAGAAAAGGAGGAGGAGAGGAGAGAAAGAAACATGAGATAAGATAGAGAGTCGGAAGACGGATATAGGGGTGCGAATGTGGGGCAAGAGTGAAAGAATGGAAGGTAGAGAGGACGAAACAGAAGGAGGAGGAAAGAAGGAAGAGAAGAGGGCAGTGGAGTGAGGAGGAAGAGATGGAAGAGGAGGATAGAAGCAGAGAGGAAGGAGAGGGAAGGAGGAGGAGGAGGATGAGAGGAGGAGGAGAGGATGAGGAGGAGGAGAAAGGAGGCGGAGGAGAGAGAGGTAGGAGGAGGAGAGAGAGAGGAGCAGAGAGAAATGAGGAGAAGGGAAGAAAAGGAGAGCTGTTGGAGGAGGAGAAGAGAGGAGGAGGAGGGGAGAGAAAACTGGTGTAGAAAGGAGGGAGGGGAGCAGGCTGTGGAATAAGGAGGCAGAAGGGGAGAAGGGAGAGAGGTGGTGGAAGAAGGAGGAGGGGAGAAGCTGGTGGAGAAGGAGGAAAGGGAGAAGGAAGCGGGAGAATGGAGGCTGAGTGGAGGAGGAGGGGAGAGAAGGGGATACAGCTGGTAAGAATGAAGCAAGATAACAAAAACACACCAGCAATAAGGTGAAGGAAAGGAAAGACAAAAAGAAAGGTAGAAAAGGATAATATGGGGAGAAAGGAGTATGGGTGGATAGAGACAGAGAAGGAGAAGCACTGGATGCAGAAAATGAGGAAGGGGAAGATTGAGGCCGCCAAAACTGCATGCAAGTGGCCCGCTTCCACACACTACACCAGGATTAATACCTCTCAGTGGTAAGAATTGAGGCCAGAGCGAAGCAGCCATAATGTCGTGGAGTTTGAATTGTAGCCATGAGGGCGAGAGCGCACGATCTGATAGTGTAGTTTGTCGAATAGTATGCGCGTGGGCCATGCCAGAACCCGCCCCCGAGGCGCTTGAAGAAAATTGACGCACAATCACAAATAGACGGCATGGGAAGCGGAATACCGATGTCGTCAAAATAGGGGGTTTTGGGAGCTTGTAGAGTGTTTTTGGACGCGCGGGAGAGAGAACGATCTAATTGAATTTTGGGTTGAAAATGAGTGCTTATATGACTGCACCCAAATAGAATATGCAAACAGAAGTTGTAAGGACTAAAAACTTTCACAATGGGGCCGCACCGAAGACTGGGACAAGTGGATGAGTACTGTAGAAATCGATTCTAATGATTCTATGCCGGCTTGTGTTGTACTACTACTAGTTAGCTAAGACTAGGGCTCATAGGGTCTGAATGTCGCACAACACAGGGGTAACTGCGCGAACAGTACCCTGGGTAGCGGTGACCAGGTATAACCAGACGTCAAGCCTAGGTCACCTAAAGAGAAAGTAGAGTGAAACTATTATAGATAAGGAAGGAAATGGTTAAGGAGTAGAGGTTTAAGGGTTAGAGTTTAGGGTTCGGCAGGGTTCGGGTTGAGAGTAGGGGTAGGCGACATCCTAGCCAACAAGTTCGCCAATCCATCACCCGCTTAACACACATATGTGCAGAACATAATCTAGTTCCGAGAGCCTGGTCGGTTTAGCGAGATACCTAGACTACGTTAGACAATGGAGTAGTAGGTACGATCCGGCATATAAATAAGTAAAAGGGTACGCATTCCGGTATACCGGAGACCGTACCGCCAGGGTAGTCTTCCGCAGTACGCAGCCCCGGGGAGCATAGACCCTATGCAGCGTAACTAGGCCCTGCGTAGCTCATAGCTGCATAAGCGGACTATCCTAATGGCGTCATAGTCATATTCCCACAGCTGGGGTACGCCTAGAAGTACCCTGGCGCCTGGTAACGGTCGCGGTATGAGAACCGAACGTACGCTGGTATAGATTATTGATATAGTTTAGGGTTGGGCTGACTTGGGGTTAGGAGTAGGCGTAGCGATGACCTAGACTCGTTACTACTTAGTACGAGGCCCTGGGGGGGGGGGGGGGATGGAGGCGCATATAGACGAATTAGCTTAGAAACACTAGCCTATTATTATAGAGATAGTAAGTTTATTAGTACGGCACTACCAGGTGTACGTTCAGTATAACGAAACGTACCTATGGTACGATCACGGCATAGGATACAATAATGTAAACCAAAACCGACGAGGATAAGGGTATACAAAAAAAAGCCTCCTATCGCTTCTTGTGCGGAGGAATACCTGCGAGTGAATCACTCGGGACACGGTTTGGCTTGGTGAGCGTTTTCAGAGAACTAAGAACTTCCTAAACTGGTTTATATACTCAAACAGCGAACCTTTTTTCCGCTATCTGGGAACTTAACTATGTATCGCAATAACTCTGTATATTAAACTAATATATACTGTTACATTGGAAATAAAATCGAAGTGACGAGCGAATGAATATACTGAGACCAGCGACATTTCTGTCTGACCTGTGAGCTATTTGGTTTGAAAGAGACGGATTCACCTGACCAATATCGGAGGGCGCTGCGTTTGCACAACGATCGCTATGCGCAAATTAACTGGGAAATGCCGTAACGTCACAAGAGAAAATCACAGAAATGAGGCTCAGAATATATTCGCACGCTCGTAACAAATATGAATGTAACATAAAATACAGAGTAACAGAGAGATAGCTCTAAAGATGAAATAATGAGACAATTTTGTAGACAGTTATAATTCGATTTATAAATATCAGACAGAGTATTGGCGATTAAAACATAGTAAAAGCTTGCAGACATAGAGAGCGGAAGAAAAGAGTTCGATAGTTGAGATAAACCCAAGTTATGAGAAGTTTTCTAAGTCTCTGAAAACGGCACCAGAAACCGGCCGCGAGCTGAAATTCAGTCGGCATTCTGCCGGATCAAAAGGGAATAGGGAGGACTTTGTAAGCCTATCCTGCTTGGAGGTTTGGGTTACAATATATTGTAATCCTAGTTCCAGGAACTGTACCAGAGCAAGTAACCTGGGGGAAATGGACCTCTCAGACCTGTTACCCATGTACTAGTGATACACTAAGTAGTCAGTTAGCTCTAGATAACTATAAGCGACGCTCACATTGAAAACTGCCGACTAGGGCCCTATAGCATAGCCATTAACGAATGCTCGGATATCTCCGCAGACCACCTTACTCCCGCAGTCCCAGCGGGAATAAGTATTTCGCGCGACAGGTGGAGAGGGTGGGCGGAGTTTGTTGTTGGTTGTAGACATACGAGAAAAACAATTGTTGTTAGCATCAGTACAAAAATTAAAAAGGGACTACGTCCGAAATTTTCTATGGGAAAAAATTTGTCAAAAATATGCCATTTGTTTTAGCATTCAAAGTAAGAAGTAAACGTATACTAAAGTATATCCTCAACTCTCACCTGTCAAAATGTTTTAATACGGTTTGGTTAAATTTGCAAAATCTAGACAATTTTGGTAATTTCTGTTGTCTAAACCTATTTCCCCCAGTACTAGTATCAGATACTGGCATCCACATCTCTGTTTTTCAGCACCGATCAGGCAAATAGGGCAATATAAAGAAAGGTTTATATTACGGCATGAAAAGTAAACAGAAACACATACATTGTAATATTTACATACATTTTATTTATGTACAAATAACACAAACAATGATAATAACTTGATGGTGCTATAATCGTGACGTAATCACTTTATAAACTAGTAATTTGTTCATCTTTTGCTGACAAAACTAATATAGCAATCTCTTTTTGAATCGCTTAAATTGTTAGCTTGACAAGCAAACAAATGTTTTTGAACGGGACACAACCAACGCCAACACCGGGCCCACACGCCCGCTCCACTAGAGCGGAATACATAGTTCCGGCCTAGATTGGCGGGCTGACTGCATCGGGGCCAACCGGCACGAGAATGGCCGTTTTGAAGTTCGGCAATGAATGTTTGTTTCACGTAGAAGAAATACGCAGAGTATCGGGATTGCAAAACGATAGTTAGAGAGGATTGCGATATTTAGTAGGGCCGAGCCGGTGATATAAGCTTAAAGAACCGTATTCTACTCATTAGTAGCTGATATAACTTAAGACATATTCACTTCGGATAAGAGGCATTAATTGCCTACCACAGACGTTTTATAGCCGGATATAATCGGGGATAAGTTGGTCCATCGCATGCCCTATGGGTCGTTCTATAGCCCAGCAGCAGCTAATGTAAGCGGGCTATAGTAGTAGTAATTGTAAAGCGCCAACTGACTTTATTCATGAACATGGTGACGGTCATGTACACATGTAGCTGTGTGACTAACGTCAATACACCTGTTGACAGTTTAACACTGCGCATGCGCTTAACCCTTTAACTACCGCAATCGCAATATTGCGATCAATAACGGTCATTTGAATTTCCCGCTCAAATACGTATAACGACCCTGTAAACAACTGCTAGATGGCGTATTAGTCAGATTATTACCTCCGCCACCAATTCGCACTCAAAGATGGATGCCGTTCTATTCATAATTTTTGAGCAAATAAACGGTGAAAATTTGTAATTTTCTGAGCTTTTGGCGATGGCCAGACAACTTTATACGCTTGCTCAGGCACTGGATATGATCCAGGATGGGGACGATTCTGGTAGTGAGCCGGACTATGCAGGAAATGATGACTTTGAGAGATTTTAGTGCCGATGGCTCCGGTAGTGATAGCGATTATAATAATGAGCCACCAGATTTAGGCCTAACGCCAAATCGTGGGTGTGGCCGTGGGCGCGGCCGTGAACTTAGGGCTAGAGCACGCGGTAGAGCCCGCCAAGCCCGTGGAGGCAGACGAGGTGGGCATAGGCCACAGCAGCAAAGAAATGAAATGGACTGGGAAATGCTAGACGGAGAAGAAAATTATAATGAGTGGATTCCAGATTTCATTGGTAATACTGGTATTGCTGTAGATAGAGATATGGCCAATGCCCGCCCCATTGATTTCCTGTCACTCATATTGGGTGATGACTTTTGGAATTTGCTAGTGAATGAGACTAACAGATATGCTACACGTTATTTGCAAAATGCTCCACTTTCCCCACATTCTCAGTTCAAAAACTGGGTTGATGTTACTGTGCCTGAGATGAAAGCATTCATGAGCCTCCAACTGGCCATGGGACTTGTTGAAAAATCAGAACTCAGTGATTACTGGTCCACCTTTTGGTTGAGTACCCGATTCCAGCAGATTCTTTCATTCCTGCACTTCGTAAATAATGGAAATCAAATTGCACGTGGCGAGCCAGGGCACGACAGACTTTTCAAAATACGTCCGGTCATTGAAACTCTGGTACCAAAGTTCAGGGAAATATACAAACCGAACCGGGACCTGTCACTCGATGAAATGACTATAGCTTTCAAGGGACGAAGCTCCATCAAGCAATATAATGCTAAGAAACCTGATAAATGGGGCTACAAAGCTTTCGTGTTATCAGAATCCAATACTGGGTATTCATTGGACTGGAGTCTATATGCCGGGAAAAATGCCGAAGCCGTTGTGGATGACGATAATATTGGAGCTGCCCATAGAGTTGTGCGGAATCTGATGACCCCATATACAAATAAGGGTCATGTTGTGTATATTGATAGTTACTACTCGTGTATTCCATTGGCAATTGAACTTTCTGACCAGGATACTGGTGTGTGTGGTACAATAAATGCCAATCGTGTGGGCATGCCGGTAGAGCTAAAAGCTGCAAACCTTCCCCTTCGTAAGGGGGATGATCCGGTCTACATGAGGTGTAATAAACTACTTGTCGTTACTTGGCATGACACAAAGAGGGTGTCTGTGATGTCTACTGTGCATAGCAATCAAAATGTAGAAAAGCGTATTCGGTCGAAGGATGCCCCAGGTGGATACAGGCCTGTGAAAAAACCTTACTGTATAGATCAGTATAATTCTCATATGGGTGGAGTAGACCTTGCGGACCAGCGTATGAAGACTTATCTTTTCCCTCACCGATCCAGGAAATGGTACATGCGCATTTTCCATGCTCTTGTTTCTATTTCCATTGTGAATGCTCAGATTATTCACCGGTCTGTAGTGGATGGTACTGAACGTTTGGACCTCAAAGACTTCACCATGGAAATCTGTACATCACTCCTTGAGGGCTACGGAAAGCGTGACAGTGTGAAACCAGGACGTCCAATCACTGGGGATAAGCCGCAGAGACTAGTTGAAAGACACTGGTTGGATCCAATTGACAATGGAAGACCTAACTGTGTTGTGTGTAGTGATATATCTATACGCGGTGGCCGTAGACAAACGCGCTTCCGTTGTCGGACGTGTGGGGTGGCCTTGTGCGCTTACCCTTGCAACGAACGCTATCACACCCTGCTGAACTACAAATTATGCCACTTGTATATGTAATTGACTCAGAAATAGTTCTATGACTCAGAAAAACACTCCATTTTGTATATCTAAAGTGACAGTAGTGAATTGAAGTCTTCCAAAGAGAACTACTTCATTCGGTTGAAAACACACTTGAAAATGACAATTCACCCACCCCCCGCCATGGCATAATTTGAACAGTACTGAAGGGGAAATTGAAAAGTATGTATCAAAACATTCTTATTTTAGGGCAGAAACTTTATTCTATCAATATACATCAGTCACTGTATATATAGTCAAGGGTGTGAAAAAAAAAAGTATAGGTGAAACTCAAAAACGTGTGGTTGACCTACATTTTGACCCAATTTGACCTAATTAATTATGTAATTAGGTCAACCTAATTAGTGTCTTCTGAAGTACCCAACAACATTTTCAATTACACCAACCAGCTAACTATTGTTACTTTTTAACTAGAATTGTCCAAATATACACCCTCTAAAACCCTGTAATTACTAAAAAATAATTCAGTAGTTAAACTTGTTAAGCCTAAGGTCAAAGGTCGGGAGGAGTTTCCGTCCCAGAATTGCGAGTAAAATTCTTTACTCGTGTGAAACGTGTAGTGTGAAGGGCTGTTCAAACGGATCGTATTGGCTTAAGAAAGAGTTAGAGCATGAATTGACCATAATTTAAATGTATCAAGTGTCATGTCACTCAGGTCATCCATTATCGGTGCTCTATTCCCCGCTACATGCACTGTTATTCGACACAAAGGTGAGCGACCTGCGTATGCAAGGTAGACAACGCATCGAGATAAACAACATGGCGGAGTTTACTCGCACATCCGGGCTCTCCCGGAGATGCAAAACTACTGGCGCAGAACATAGACGCAGAACTGTCAATCGGTGTATATACACAGCCTGACATCCATCCTTTCAATAGTCTTGTACCTCTACAAAAACTGCCGAACAATTACGTATATCTCAAATATAATAATCATCTAACAGTCCACCCTCATTGGCCCAGCGGGCCTGTAGAAATGTATAATTCACTGGCCCCCACTAGGTTTTACAGGCCCGAATCAATGATCATCATATTATGAAAAGAGAAACCGAACCGGACCGGAAACCGTAAGTTGTTGCGACTTCTAGCGGCGACAAACACGCATGGTGTTGACTAGTTACTTCCGCTACTTAAGATCGGGAATATGATGCCCTATCGGTAAATATCGGTAAATTTTCATACAAAATATCGGGAATTTCGGTAAATTCTCAGACTGATCATCACATAAAGAAGCTGAAATATCATTAATATACCATTTATTCCATTTTTTCCCACTGGCCCATCGGGCTTGTTCATTTACCAGTTTCATTGGCCCCACAGAAAATTTACTGGCCTCGGATACCGGGCCAGTGGTTAATTTCGCAGACTGATCTAATAGGGGTGAGTATTGCGACCAAAAACCGTATTGCAATAATATTGCAATACGACAAAACCGTGATTGCAATATTTTCCAATACGCATTGGGAAGTGTATCACATGCCATGAAATAGTAACAATTTGATGGTTTTAATATCATCATATATTGTATTATATGACATGATTTAATTTCTCATGTTTTTCTTGAGAAACAGAAGCACGTACGGCAATGGTTTCTGCTGACAGTGCAGCTCTCTGTGCTGTACAATGTCACCCGCTGTACTGAATACCCTTCGGAAGGCACTGCCGTGGCTGGAATACACAATACCCCTGCCTGCATAATTGGTTAATACTGGATACTGAAACTTGAAACTGAACTGAAACTGAAACAGTGGGTGCTCGCTTCAGCTTGTATCGCGCGCGCGGCGGGCACTCAGGTGAGCATAGGCTATATATAGACTCCCTAGTTGCCGTGCTCTCTGCCTCGCGCACAGGCTGCCCCACTCTGCCCGCGCAGTAGTACGCGCAGTGCTCATGCAGTGGCCGCTTACCAGTAATACTGTATGCGTCGGCAGGCATTGTGCTTCATAATATATACACCGCCAGTGCATAATTTTCGAGCCCATTAACAATATAGACATAAGGCAAGTGTAAAGTAATTATTTCTTGTTATACCACCGTATCGTAAAATATCGATATCCGGAAGTTGTATCGCGATATATCGAGTTTTCAAAATATATTGCAATATACCGATATACCGGTATATCATTACACCCCTATGATCTAAGGATTTCTGCCTTGTTTTGTATCAAGTAGGGCCTACAACCTTCACCTTATAGTATGCCAGCGTTGTTATTAAAACTAATAGGCCTACCTCAGTTCGCTGTGCACAGTGTAAATTTCACGAGCCGAACCTAAATTTCACTTAACCGCCAACCGCCATTTCGATCGGAACGCCGAAAACCCGAAACGACATAACATATGATACCACAGCCTTGCAACTCGCGTTGGCACGAGCATAAATAAGCATCATATACTCATATATATATAAATATTAAAACATTAAAAACCAGGAAACATTAATCTACAACAACTTAATAATTATCATTACGAAGATATATATTTGCCTTGTGTTTAGGCCTGTGCACTGTGAAAAGCAGGTCGATTGCCGATTTTAGTTGCACCAAAAATGGCGGACATGGCGGCTGTTTGTTTGTTTTCATCCAATTCACCTCAGAAAATACGGCATAACTCGATAAATAAGTAGCGCCCAGTTACCGCGACCAAGCCAGGGGATTGTCTTGAGGCAATTGATACAATTCATATTGACTTGCCTAAGTCTTTTAATTAACTTGACATCAATAACTTTATTTAAAGGGAGAGTTTACTCTGGGTTCTAGGGTTATTTTCAGCTAATTTAGGTTATAATTACGCTACATAAAGTTTCATGTTCAATCACCATTAGAAATATTATTTTAAAAAATGTTTAAAACTAACGACTACAGTGTTGATTACAACGACGGTGGCGCCACTCAAAGCGCACGATCTGATAAGTTGCGCAAAACCACTTTCCAGCAAGGGCTACAGACCAGGGTGTTTCTTATTTATTCATTTAAAAGCAAAAGGATTGTAATCTCTTACATAAAGGCGAGCTGCTTTTTTGTGTCTGTCCTTCTGTCTATCTTCTCCCTCCGTAAGAGCTCACCCCCAACACCAATATATTTTCTTAATCAGCATGTCGCAACGACCAAGGCAAGGTCCAAAAAAAAAAAAAAAAAAAAATAAAAAGTTTACAATTACAATTAAATATTTATTATTTTAAGAAATGTCGCGAGGTGGCGCTATATTACCCTCCTACTAATTTAATGCGGCCGTTCACTGCTCATCCATCGACTGCATGTTGAATTTGCATTTTGACCGCTATTTTTCTAGCTGCTAAATTGTCGACTATTTTTGTTAGTTATTTAAAACAATTTAGCTTCGAATGAGAGACAAAAGCGTCGTACACGACTACTCTGAAAGGTATAAATGCTCAACTTGCTGCTTATTTTTTCGCATGCACTCAGGGCGAGCCTGTTTTTGTGTCTGTCCTTCTGTCATCTTCTCCCCCCCCCCCGTAAGAGCTCACCCCCAACCCATATATTTAATACAAATATTATATATATATATATATATATATGTATTATATATATATATATATATACAATTTGCACAAAAACGCCAAATAAAGGGCAAAAACAAACAACAGATTTCCCCAAAAATACTAGCGCAGCAGAAAAGTTAACAATAACAGCAATCTAGCGCTCGACTATACACTGCAGCAGAAAAGTCAAGACGAATCCTAGAACAGCAATCCTATAGCCGCTCAACTATGTCAGGCTCAAAATCAGCAATTGACATGAATAGCCGAAACGCCATTAGCAGCAAACGGCAATAGCTTGAAATAGCAGAAAGCAGTACCCCAAAGAAATCCGGGCAATCGCCGGGTAGCCAGCTAGTATCTTATAAACGACATATAGTTTCAGTTATAATAATAATTAATATGGATAAATTTGCCCTAAAATTAATATTGTTCGGTTAAATAGCATTTAGGTATAAATATAATTGCACTTTTGTGATTAGCCCTCGGTCTGTAACCTGCAAAATAAATTGTCAAATACGCAACTTTTTCGGGGTGGCACCACGGTCATGGGTGTCATGGCGCCGTTCAAATTTCGTAGCGTTGATGGGTAAATAATTATAACAATTAAATTGGGTATCTGGTAACAAATACGTGTGGGTATAGACGATTTGTTATACAGTAAGTACAGTTGTATGCAGTTAAATCCTAGAGGCTAATGTCCCTTTAATTAATATATTAAAATATTAGAAAACAAACTATTATGTTTTTTTATCAATGAAAAAAACTGTCCAGGATAAGTCTCACTCCCCACCATGGGGAAATGAAGACAAAAATAATTTTTGTTGTTTCTCATTTCATTATATGTGCTCATTTCAGTTTGAGAATATATGAATATATATAGAATATATGGAACACAATTTTCAGCTTTTTTTTCAACACCTGACTGGTATCACTGAAATATTATTATATTAAGTTTATATTTGTTGTATTTAGCTGTGTAATAATGCCTGTTATTTCTTTTTAGTTCAAGAGGTCAACAAACGTATTAATACTCTGCGTACCCAGTATTCTAGACTGGTAAAACCTGGAAAAAGTGGCAGTTGTGCTGCAGCCAAAACTGAACGGCAGAAGTGGCTTCTGACTACCTTATCCTTCCTGGAGCCGCATGTGAAAAAGCGAAATTCTTTCTCCAACTTTCAAGTAAGATATATATATGAATTTATTTATCAGATATAAAATATAAAATACATGTTACAAGAGATGCCATGGGGGAAATTAATAATATGCTGAAATTATTCTGATCGTTTCTCATTCATATATAAACATATATAAAATGTCAGAAATAATTATTACACTGGAATTATTTGATGGGACAAATAACTAATAAACACAAATTATTTTATCATTTTTTAATTCTTTCATCACTTCACTATGTGACAGCATTTTTCCTTTTCATCAGAATTGCATTTTATTATCCTGCAACGAATCTAGCATTTGCCCCACTGCCAGTCAACAGGCCCCAGCTCAGAATTAAAGTACGACTTCAGCAGATCTCTATGAGCTTTGGCCTTCTTCGTGGGGTTTGTACCTGGTTTCAGAGCTGCCTGTTCAAGCTGTGGATCTTTATGCCACAAACCCGCGGTTATAGCATGTGTTCCAGGATCCTCACTGTCTCCAACTTTTGCAACATACCCAGTCCCAATCTTAACGTGCAGATAGTTGTGAAGGGCGCATGTTGCCATAACTATTTTGTCTACAGTCTCTGGTGGGAGGGCGATGGTAGTCAGAAACACTCGGAATTTGTTTGCCATGATCCCAAAAGCGTTCTCAACTACCCTTTGGGCACGAGACAGCCTGTAATTGTAGACACGTTTGTCCAGCTCCATTGAACGATAAGGGTAGGGTTTCATGATATCATCTCTTAGGGGAAAGGCATCATCAGCTACGATTGTGTAGGCCATGGGAGTATCATCCCCTGGATATGGTGTTGGATCTGGTATGTTTGCAGTCCTGGCCCGCATGCTCTGATCAAGTGTACATGCCCTGAAATACACCTCCATCAGACAACTTTCCATTGCAACCAACATTCACATACAGAAACTTATAGTCTGCATCCACCAGGGCCATTAACACAATGCTGAAACGTTGCTTGTAGTTGAAATACTTGCTGCCTGAATGTATGGTAGGTCGGATGTTGATGTGCTTCCCATCTAATGCCCCTATGCAGTTGGGGAAGTTCCATTTTTCTTGAAACCCTTTGGCAATGCTTTTCCACTCCTCCTTAGTCTGTGGACACTGAAATATATCATAGCAAAACTTTGTAATGGCAGATAAATATGACATGTTTTTATTTTTATTTCAGCAGACAACAGAGGATGATTCTGAAGAAGAAAATGTTACACCCGACGAGGTACAGGAGGAAGTGGAGAATGAGAACACCCAATTTACTACTCTAGAAAACCCACCTACCCCCCCGTCGGTCAGTGATAATTCTTCCTGTACCACAGAGAACAAGGAACAGGCATGTGATATTGATACACCAACCACCACAAGGAGACAATCAAAGAAGAGGGGGAGAGATAGCATAGACTCTGTGCAGAAGGCAGAACTCGATTTGCTCTCATCTATGAAGGCAATACTTGCGAAACATCAAGAAGAGCCCGAAGATGAGCTATCAGTTTTCGGAAAATTCATCATTAAGCAGTTAAGAGAAATTAATGATGAAAGCATGAGGCTAATGGTAATGAATGAAATTCAGCAGGCATGCTTCAGGGGACGCATGTCAGGTTGTAACTCAGGGAGATCGTTTTCCTTTTATAACCAACATGCCCCACAAAACCAGGTTTACCCCAACGTAGAGCCACATCCCCAACCTTCAACATGTACCAACAATGGCCCCTACCAGCACCCTGCACATGACAATGCTACTTTTATTAATGATAATTTTATTAAACATGAATAATGTAGTATGTGCACAGGGTACAGGTGAAGTATCTGAGTTACCATCTGTTTCAGCCTCTTCTTCTAAATAAAAATTCAAAGGTTAACCTTTGCAGACAGTAGATATATGTATGGAATTGCTTTATTTGTTTGGACTTGGTTTAATATCTAAGGGTGACATGTGAAATTTTATTGATATTATAATCTTATTTTTATAGAAGCAACTGTCTTTGTTTTATTGTTTTAATTTATTTCAGTCAGGTGTATTGGTATTGAACCTGAATTGAAGTTGCTCTGTAATAAAGTGTTTCACTCATATATAAATAAAAAATATGAAAATAAGCATGTACTTATTATTATTTATTATTAATTACTATGTGCATTTATTATTAATTAATATGTACTAGTGTTGTCAATC